TGTGTGTGTGTGTGTGTGTTAATGGATTCGCAAGACCCCCGCGTATTCTGAATACCATCTCAATTGAAACATGTTCTTTTTTCATGGGATTCTGATACCGTATATTATATATTTACTATTCTTTCACTTCTGTCCCCAGCTTTTGTTATGTTTCCAATCTGGGTACCTGATGTGGAAGGAAAGAAGGAAGGAATGGAAGAGCAAGTGAGCGGTGCCTGTGAGACGGATTGCCTGGCGAATTGAAAGCAAACGGAGGAGATCTCTTCTATGGAGATGGATGACCTTGGATGCGTTCTCTTGTTGGTGTTCAACGATATCTACGCCGTTCCAGAGAGTGTGATCTCTTCATCTCACATTCCTTCCGCTACATGCATGGACCATGCGTGTCCCAGCCGTCCCTCAACAACCAGCTACACCGATCGACCCCCCCCCCGAAAACAGACACCGAATATCACGAACCAACAGAATATGAATGACAGACTCGCCCATCGTTTCTATCTCGGGCTACCTAGGTAGCTACCTAGTATATATCATATATATGCACTACACGGGTTACTTCCGGCTGGTTCTCGCGAACGTGCCTACACAGCTAACGGCGTATTAGGTATGTAATTTAACTAACTACGACGACCCCTTGACTTTGCTCCTTTGGCGAAGCGGTTGATAACATACTAACTTACGGAGTACCAGGCGATGAAATATTGTGGCCTTTCCGGAAAAGAAAAAGAATGTGCCATTGATCCTTCTCACTCACACAACAATATCGATCAAAAAGACCTCAACATACCCATAAATCACTCCTTACCGAACCGACAACGCGCGCGAAAAAAAAATATGTACAAAAAAAATTCAAAAAATCATCAAAATTGTACACTTTCAAAAGCACGGAATGGGGCGAGCCGGGATCGAACCAGCGACCTTACGATTAAACTGTGCACCGAAGTTGAACTTCAGTCGTACGCTCTCCCAACTGAGCTATCACCCCATTGGATAATGAAAAAACGGAAGTTTTTTGACTCGACTGCCAGCCTACCGCCCGATTTTGAATAATAAAAGCCAAAAAACCGTGGTTTTTGTGTGACCCCTTGTTTTTCATGTATGGTCTTTTCGATTGTTGGACTTTCCGGATAATATGCAAAAAAAATATAAAATGAAAAGAGGAGGAGGGGCAAAAAAATTGAAAAAGAATAATGGGGCGAGCCGGGATCGAACCAGCGACCTTACGATTAAACTGTTGAACTGAAGTTGGAACTTCAGTCGTACGCTCTCCCAACTGAGCTATCACCCCACGTGATATGGATAAGGGGGCAGCTGGTGGGGTTGGAGAAGTAGTGCTGGCCTAGGCATGTTCGGGAGGTTGCTTGATGGGGGTTTTTTTTGGGATGATTGTTCTATGTGGGCGGAAGCTGGTGGTTCTTGTTGGGTGGGGGGATGTAAAGGAGGTGGGAGGGGTGTTAGGGAGGGGGATGTCTGTTGGAGATATGAATCAAAAGCGAGTTTAATTAGGTGGTGATGCTTTGCCTTGCCTTGCGCGTCCAGTTTGATTGGGACCTAATTCTAAACCTTGGAGGCCAGACTCATCAGCAAACCTGCTAGTTATGCCTTGCGGGCTCCGTGCGGTTTCGGTATCCGCGCTATGATCACTGGGCCGCTTCTGGACCATAGTCATTGGGGATTATCCAGGGAGTTGGTATCACGTTTAAATTGACTAAATGGCCAAGCCTGCCGGTTCATATTATGGTTCTGTTTCTCATCATTGGAGCAGGAGAATCATGAATATCATGTCCGAGTTACTCCGGACCCGGAATGTATCTTCCTGCTTGAGCATCATTCTGCATGCCTATATGCACCAGCAATCACCCTGGGCTGTTTATGAGAGAAGGGGAGCAAAAGCAGCAGTTAGCCACGTTAGATTCACTAGAGTATGTAGAGGAAACCAAACTACATGTGCACCATAATGCCTGCCCCGTCCACTTGCGCGTCTTCATGGATTCAACTCACTGAATCGGATATCAAGATCCTCATTACATAGTATGTTCTCGTTCCTACTTCCTGCGATGCAACAATAATGCCGCCATTTGCAGTCTTAGACCGGTATAAGTCTTCGTAGCTACTTATCTTCACACCAAACATCCATCTCTGAGCAAATGAAAGGCGTCTGGCTATTTTCGTGTGGAGTCAGGGGTTGGAGAGATGAGCGTAATTCGTTAATTTCAGTCAAATATCCGCTTGGCATTCCAATCGAATATCCAATGGGGTGATAGCTCAGTTGGGAGAGCGTACGACTGAAGTTAAAACTTCGGTTAGATAATCGTAAGGTCGCTGGTTCGATCCCGGCTCGCCCCATTTCTTCTTTTTTTGTCGGCTTTTTTTTTCTTCTTTGGAGAAACTTGTACTTATTTATTTATTTGGAGGGTTGTCGATTTTTCTAGGAACTTTATCCAAGGGAACTGAGAAATTTTGCCAGCGTCCCCCTTAGCCTAGCACCGCTGATAAATGACTCCTGGTAGATCCAGGAAGTTATCATTCTGGTCAATCAAGATGATCTGCTATGCTACATAGTGCTATTAGGTCTTGCGAAGTCTGCTTTCCCTAGTGGGGTTAGCAATTTAGGGGCTGGTCTACGTTTGTTCTCATGATACTTTGTTGATATCCATGAATGAAGCTAGCCCATGGAAACATCAGGCAAGGGGTTAAACTGAATTTATATTTCATTCATATTTTAGATGTCAGATGGCAGGTAACACTACCTGGCTTGTCACTGTTTAGCTACTCAAACATTAAGGACCGCTCAGAGAGTCGCTCCTCTCCCTTATCGGCCAAGAAACACCATTTGATACAACCCAAAACCAGAGGATTCTATATTTATAAAACGAGGAAAACTCTCTAAAGCACACTCCCAACACATCTACTTATATATAAACATCGTGACTCGCCATAATTGTCCACATATATCCGCTTCTTTCCATCCGATCTCTTCACCATTACACCCCTAACGATCACATCCCTGCTCTATCGACAAAATTTACAGGCGCAACAGGCGTCCCCGTCTCCAAGCACGCCTTGATATTCTCAAAACATTCCATCTCGGACAAATTGAATGCGCCATCCGTCAGGCCGCCTAGATGCGGTTGGATAATCACTTTGTCGCTGGTGGCGTAATAGGGACTATAAAGTATTGATATCAAAATCAGATTAGCCCCTATTTCATTTGTCTCCCTCAACCACACAACCTTTTTTGGATAAGACATGAAAAACAAAAACCTCGGTGTAACTAACAAAACCCGAAGGGACAAAAATAGCCAGGATACAAAACTTACTTAATAACCGGCTCCTCAGGGAAAACATCCAACCCAGCCATCTTCACCTTCCCGCTCTCTAACGCTTCAATTAACGCTTCATCATCAACTATCAGGCCCCGTGCCGTGTTCACAAAGTACACGCCATCTTTCATTTTCGCAAATTCCTTGCGTCCGATCAAACCTGTGGTCTCACTGTTCAGCGGACAGTTTATGGAGATGATGTCCGAGGTCGAGAGCAGCTCGTCGAGCGTGGCGCAGTAGGTGGCTTTGTATTCGGCTTCCGTGGAGGCGGGGAGACGGGTGCGGTTGTAGTATTGCACGCGCAGGTTGAAGGCGGCGGCTTTGCGGGCTAGGTGCTGTTTGGGGAGAAATTGAGGGGATGAAGTTAGTTTTTCGGGAGTAGTTCAAGTGGTGAGGTTTCTCAGTGATATTCAGGGGCAGTTTGATGTGGAAGTTTTCCACCCTGGCAAGCTCCCAATTCCCAAATGATCCAAATACCACCCTAGCCCCCCATACGTAGACATATACACGGGGAAAAGGGAGTGTAAAAAAATGTCAACATACCTTCCCAATCCCCCCCATCCCCACAATCCCCAACACCATCCCCCTCGGATCCCTCGTCGGCACCAACCCATCCTTCCACCTCCCCTCCCTAGCCTGCCTCTCCGCAACACTCATATTCTTCAACAGCGCCAGTATTAGCAGAATACTCATATCTGCCGTGGCCTCCGACACCGCATTGCGCGTATTGCAGAACCATATCTTGCTCCGCGTCATCCACTCCACGTCGAACTCATTGTAGCCCGCTGAGGCGGAGGCGATGATTTTGCAGTGCGGGGTTAGCGCGGAGAAGAGCTCTTCGTCAAAGGGTTCAAAGGCCAAGGTGCCCATGCGCACCAGCACGGCGGAGAACGGCCCCTGTTCGGCGGCTAGTTTGGCGATTTCGGGGATTGCCCCTGTGCGGGACGGGGAGGTTAGGGTCTGGGATTGTGTTAGCTTATATCGTAGGGTATGGGGGTTTGGTGTGAGATATTACATGGAGTTCATATTTCGATTTGAAGTCCTCGAGATAGGCTGGGTCGGTGAATGCGGGATAGGTGAGCGCGAGGACTTTGGGCTTCTTTGCGCCGGCTGCGGGGGTTGACATGATTGCGTTGGGAGATTGGCTATTCTTTTTTGTTTGTTGCACGCCTATTCGTTCGAGATTGGCTGCCTTGCGAAGCCAGAGATACCAATTTGCACAGAAAGGTGTATATCTTATGCTAATTGATTTGGAAGTCGAAAAATGGTGGGGGAGTCATAGAATAGTTAGCAAAACTCCGCGCACTGCATTTTATATTCGCGAAATACGACTTGACTAGTCCTGCAACTGTTAGTGGCCGATGAATTCCTGACTTACACAGCCCAACAAGCAGCTTTTGGAAACCCCCGAGCCAAAGGAAGACGAAGCCAGAGTCGAGGTATGGCGGGTGGAGACAGGCGTTGATAAGATATGCCCCGCCATTCGGGAATTTGCCGAATATGCCCCAATATCATATATGTATGTTCTCGGTTGGGTTGGCAGAACACTATCTTGGTGAGGGAATGTCAGGAAAATACTCATATTTTAGTGTCCTTTTGCTCACTGCCTTTTGATCATGTGGTGTGTTTTGGTCCCTCTACCCCAACCTCCTCCTTTCCTTCTATCCTCAATGTCCTATGTGTTCCACCTCTTCACTGTATATATATATCTTATGTCTGCACTGTTGCTATATTTATTCCCCCTGCTGAGTACCCTCTACTGCTCCCTGAGTGCTACTTGGCCTTCAGTCTGTCTGTTTTCTTACTACCTTTAGTAGTTGTTTGAGATCCCTTTGATGTCCCCTATTATAATGTCCTTAATGATATCCTGGGTCTCAGGCTTCTTGTTGATTTCATTGATGTTCTGAGGTCTGAGTGGGTAGATAAGACCTCTTAATTGACTTTACTAGTACTATCTGTTCTTATTTTGTCTTTTAGGCTAGTGCTGTCAGTGTGATCTGCTGCTGTACTGATAGTACTAGTATAGCCTATCTTTATAGCTCTATTAGTCATACTAATGCTATCTATATAGTCTGTCCCTTTCTTGCCTACTACATCTACTTGATTGTCATGGTGAGCTAAGTATGAGACCTGTGATTATTGAATATATAAAATGAATTGATATTTTAATTATCTCTTTTATTATTTTTATTAATCCTGACTTTCTCTGTGTGTCTGTATGCTATATATCCCCTCTATGGATTTTATCTCTTAATTATTTACTATTAATTCCTTTCCTCTTTTTGATTTTAGTCTGCTGCCTCTCCACATTCTTAGTGTTGGTATTAAATTATTGGTTTCATTCATGGGATTATAGAATTTATAGGGTTATTTTGAGTTGAATTGTTAATATCTTTATTTGATGTATATATATATCTTCTGCTATTTACTACTCTTTGTTAGTCTCTTTCATTATTTATTATCCTCTATGCTTTTTACTATCTATATCTTTATCCATCTTAATTTATCTTTATTTAAATATTACTTCTTGCTTTTTACTATTATACCTTCTATTACTCTGCCTTTCTGGGGTCCTTCATTCTCTACTCTCTCTATAGTGAATTTAATGTCTTCTCCTCTTTCAGTCTTTACATCTAAGACCTCTCTGAGCTCTATATTATCATTAGTTTAGGCTTCTATTCCTCATTGTACCTGCAATAGCTACCACAAGTAATATACTATTAGTTCTTAATATGCTCAGTGTTTAATGTGTCTGAATTTAGCTAGAGTAGCTGCTCTTCTGATGTCTGTCCCCTCTGAATCTGCTCTAGATGAGGGCTGTATCTACTTGAATTGTTATTACTAGCTTTCAAACTTCTGATATAAGTATTATGATAGGTGTTGAGCTACCTATAGAGCTCCTATTAGGCTAGATGCTACTACTATTACTTAGGTACTTCTACTCTGTACTGATTATGATCTTAAA